TCACCATGGTCTTGGAGTTTCCAAAGCGCCTAGTCTGACATCCCCTCAGTGATGACGATACGGCTGTCCGAAATTAAGAAAAGTCACAATTTCGCCGCAAGGGCGAAGCATCGAATGCGATAGCAACAACTTGGAATGCAACGCTAAGAACGGCAAGCAGATCGAAACGTGCAGCGCCCTGCTCACGCACAAATGACGCACGAGAACGAGAGCGAACTAACAACATTTACTGCTGGGAACTTGATGCGTTGTTTATACAAAAACAAGGCATGAAAAGTAATCACAGGTCAAATATGAGTGCGAACTGACCAAAGCCGCAGCTATTACTTCGCCGAGTTTGAAAAGCACACTCTTTTCGCAAATGCCGCCTGTCCAGCGAGCGAAGTGATCTTTGTGCGCCCGGCAACTACACGTAATCGTTGCGGTCAAAGTCGAACGATTAGGCGCACGATTCTCCCCCCCGAAGGATAAGTGCGCGGCACGTACATGCATCTACTCCCCCTCCCCCCCTTCGCAGGGCAAAGTACACGTAGGAGATAAGCGCGCGTCGGTGCATCGTGACGAGCTGGGCGCCGAGCGCAGGTGGCTTTTTTTCTTTCTTGAGCTTTCATATACACATATACGTATACATATGCGATGAATGGTGGCGGCGACATCATAAAACCAGCCGAGACGGTTCATATAATTGCTATTGCGCAGTGAAACTATGCATGCACACACAGCGTCGAAAACGATGAGCGAACGACACAGACACGGATACCGCGGAAAACTATTAGGTAAAGTGCTTTCCATATGCAGCGCGGCCCCACTATGCGACGCGAACTAAAAGCGGGGCACTGCAAACACGCAAAAGTAGTTTTTTTGGCTTGCAGTAAAGGGAGGGATCCCACCCGTGCATGCGCCTGTGGCGGTGAGAGCGGCCGCAACACCGGCTCGTGCGGTCATGGCCTGCCTGCCCGCCTCCCACGCTCTTCCCTGGTGCGCCGTGTGCACCGCCGCCACCGCTTCACGCTTTGTTGGCGGCGGGGCAGCTGCGGAAGATGCATGCTCGTAACAAAATGCCAAAATGCGGAGCAAAATAACTAGATTGTCCGTGGGGAAAATTCGTTATATCAAGGTTGTCTTCTGCTATTACTTAGTTACATAGAAGTCACAAATACATGTGCTCCTATGGAGCAACGGCGGGGAATAGAAAAACCTCGTTATATCAAGGAATTCGTTATATGTAGGTTCGTTAGAAGCACGTTTAACTGTATATAGAAATATCAGTTAAATCAGACAGCTAAGAAATTCCTTTGAATTTCCCATGCAAAAGTTTGCCACTAGTGCACCCGTATATCAAACCCCCGCACAGCGAGACACGAGACATCTACTGTATCGAACGCTGCGCCGTGCCGAAGCCCTGAAAGTGCATTTTTCCGAGCAAATATTGACCAGTTTTTGGCCGTGTTCTAACAAATTCCGGTTCTAACAATTTCTGATCCCTTTGCGTGTGCAGGTCAAAAAGGCGGTATTATTCCATCATGCTGATTTAATTTCATTGCGTGGCATTGAATTGCGAGTGTGCCAGCATGCTTGATGTGCGATCTGCAGGTCTTAACGCGTGGGCATAGCATTTTTCAAAAAGACTGATTGCCAAGGAAACCAAAATGAGAATGTGAGGTTACTCAGCGATCTCATTGCCTTCGAGATGTGAAAACTCGCAACGTATTTTTGACGTTTTCTGTTTTAAAACAGTCTCGAAAGCAACACTTTTTCTAGCTTTTCGCACCAGAGCAACTGAACGCAGCAGCTGCCAGCTACAAAGGCACAAGTGACATTCATATTGCCAACATGTCGACTGTGGAAACTCGACGTCTTTTACGCTTTATGGACTTGTGTACTTCTTGCTTCGTTCCTGATAAATCCTCATTCGCGAATTGAACTGAACATTGACCCGCATGTAGCAATAAAAAAATTTGAGCAACATCAAGTACCGTCGTAAACTTTCCTTGTTGCCAGGCGACGACTTCGGGTGTATCATGACCGTTGACGTACACTGCCTTGGTGAATTCTGCGACTTATCAGCGTTTACAGGCACCATCTTGGTCAGTGAGTGACTTATCAGTGCAGATGACAATGTAGCTGTTTCTGACTCCATCGATGATGAGATCATGGCTGCCGTGCCCGGTGCTGCGGAAGTGCACCCGTGCAGTTATGAATATGCCAACGCCATTGCTGCCACCGCTAAGCAACCTTTTGCCATGCTACAATGCTCGCATCGGCGTTCTGCATCAATGAACAGAGGCCGAAGGAACTAAATTCGCGTATTTGAAAAGCTAAAATTATATTAAGGATGACTGGAACTTGACGGCACCAAGAAGTAAGACGAGTTTATAGACTATTTTCATGCGAAATTAAGTGCGGTAGCTTGCAGTTCACACCTTGTTCTTCATTAAATTGCAAGTGAACCATTATGTTAGCACTTGTGAAGATTTCAGAGGCCTGAAATGCTTTAATTTAGGTCTTAAATATGTATATCTTGCAATTCAAATTATCGATATATTCGGGATCGACTGTACTGGGTTACTGTCGCTACAACCGTGAGAGTCCGGATAGATGGGGCCATCTAGCGGTGCAAGGAAGAACCTGGCAAGCAGAGATCGTATTCCATTTCTCCGCTGGTGCGCATTCTCTACACCCATATTCCAAATGACCCCTTTGCGTATACCTGAATGATGTGCACGTAACTCCCCAATATAGCTAATTCAGACACACGAGCGAGCATGACCAAAGCATGCATTCTCGGGCGCACCTCCTCCTAGCTGCTGGGAATGACATCCATTTTTAAATGGCCGTTCTGCTAAGGGTCGATCGAAGCATAAACGATTCGCGACGATTTCAAGCTCCAGACTCGTATTCAACCCTAGTTGTACGACGACGACGGCAATGCAAGTGAAAGGCATGACTGAATGTGTGCGCCTAGCACACGAAATGTTTGCGAAGTAGCCGAGCCTCCCGTCACTCTTTTCTGTGGAGAAGTGGTCAGCTATGGCACGATCTGGAGCTGACCGCGACAAAGCACCCCGAGCACAAGAAATGGTGGGCTTGCCCGCCGTTTTGAATCATGCTAGAAACCAGCGATATAAATCAATAAAAGTGACAGTTAGCTGTTCCTCACTTGTGTTTTAGGTCACAAATCGTTACTAGAGGGTCGATAGCTACTCGCTGACGAAAAAATCTGCACAGGAGTAAATTTGATGTCAGTGCTCTTTTAACACAGGCGGCCAACGTTGCACAGTGCGAGAGAGCGTGATTGACCCATATTTGCTTGGCAGTGTTGCTGATTAATGAAAGCATACTACAGTCGAGCCCGCATATATCAAACTTTGCTATAGCAAATTATTGGCTATATAGAACCATAGAAAAATCCACTTGAATTTCTCCTACAAAAATATGCAGCTGGCACATACGTATACTGAACTCTTGCACAGCGAGACAGTTATATTGAATGCTGCTCTGTACCAAAGCCCAAGAAGAGCATTTCCTAAACAAATATTGATCATTTTCAGCTACGTTCTCACAAATTGCAATCTCTTGTGGGGTGCAGGTGACGAAAAGGCAGTGCGTTATTTCATTTCATTGATCTGGTCTGTTGCACAGAGCTTGTCTGCGCACAAGAATGTTTGATGCACAATCTGCAGGTTTTAGGATGCAGGCATAGTGTTTTATTGAAGAGGTTGATTGCCCAGGGTGCCAAAATGAGAATGCAAAGTGGCTCGGCGACCTCACTGCAATGCCTGCATACCCTTTCTTGTTTAATCATGCACAATGGCATACAAGCCCAAAAAGCATGGCCTTCAAGACGAGCAACCTCGTGATAATTTTCGGTATTTTCAGTTTTAAAACACATCTCTGAGGCTATGCTTTTCTTGCTTTTTGCGCCAAAGCAGCAGCTGCCTGCTACAGTGCTTTACTGCTATGAAGCCACAAGTGCCATCGCTATCACCAACATGTTGACTATGGGGACTTGTTCTGTTCTTCATGAACAGCATGTGGGCAGCGTTATCTCTTGTGGCTTTGGCATTTTTGACTTCATTCCTGATAAAGTCTTATTCGAGACTCGAACTAAAATTGACCACCGCTTGAAGGAATAAAAACAATGCCTGGTGCTTGGAGCGACATCAAGTGAAACACCGCCATGAACTGTTTCCTAATCGGCTTTGGTGCAAGAAGACAACTTTGGCTGCGTCATGTTATGACTGCAGACTATGGTGAACAGTGCCTCAGTGAATATTGCAATTTATTAGCTTTTCCGGGCACATTTTAGAATGCAAGTACTGCTAGCAACTTCATCAGTGCAAATGACAACATAGCTGTTTGTGACTGTATCGATGCGGAGATAATGGCTGATGTTTGTGGTGCCGTGAAAATTGACCCATACAGTTCTAAAGATGTCAAAATCAAGTGCAAAACTTTGTCAACACAAACCCTCAAATGTCTTCGTGAGCTGACTCCGAGCATGGCTTGACTTGGCCATGATAGACATTCAATGGATACTTCACTGGCTAAAGCCAAAAGGCAACCATTATGTGTAGCCAACAAACATAAGCTTTCAGATCGGCAATTTTACTTCCTGCATAGGTTTTTAATACTAGCAAGGCCACCAGCCATAGCCACTACAATATTGTAGTGCTGGCAACCTGGCAAACATATTGTAAACATCACTGACAGCTTGTCATGATATTTGACGTATTTGACCAGCCAGCAGGAGTCTGAAAATTTAAATGGTGCACAGTGTAGTGTGGGAATTTTCGGTCACAAGCTTACATTACTTCAATGGGCCGAGTGACAGTGTCAGAATAAACGAGCATGTCCGAATTTTGAGAGTCCGAACAAACGGTCAGTAGCTGCAATTCAAGATACCAAATGTGCCTCCCTGCATGCCTCAGAGGCAGACAGTGAATACCTATATATTTCTGGAAGAATTCAGTTTGCCTCTAAGATTTAACATCACTGACCTGTGCAAAAAGCTCTTGCTGCTGTCGCAGCAGCTCTTCTTCAGGGATGCCCAGGTTCTCCAGGCGTGTACTTTGACGACGACGCTTGGCTGCCACTGCTTTGCAGTCCTTGAGCACTGCCTCAGCATCCTGGCGGTAGGCACCGAAGCCAAGACTGTCCAAAGCTGAAATGCACCCACAAATTGTGCTGACAGTTTCCTATAAAGCATACCAATACTGAGAAGGTCAGTGGAGAGCCCTGTAACAGCCCTGCGATGAAGAGATAACCAGACAATTGAACAACATAGACATCCCGTCACAAGAATTTCACGAATAAGCGGTGTAATAATGAAATTACAGAAGATAACTGTTTCGGCAAGCTTTGATTTCTCCCTCTGCCAAACCACCCATATGAGTGATGGCAATATGACACAATAGCAATTATACAATTGGCATGCAACAAACAAAGAGCAAGGGTTTTGTCAGGTGTCATTCATAAAAATGACATTGAGGGTGGCACTGATAAGGCAAAACACGTGACATGAGCAACAACTGTGCAGCCAAAACACTGCAGGTTCAAGGCACAGTTTTGTAGTGCACAGGACCAATTGACAAGGTCAGAGCTACTTAACGTTGCCCATTAAAAATGTTGCGTCACTTTGCAGGCATAGGAGACTGAACAAACCCCGCGGAGAGACGCGGGCAATTTTTTTTTTTTCGAACTCAAAAGTTTGCACTGAGTGCAATGGTGTGACAGTCGGGAAATGCAATAGCTGTGGCCTTCTGCATGAATGAGTGAGCTGGTTTGGCAGGTGTAAAAAAAAAAATACTACAAAGTTCGTCTACTGGCCCTTTAACTATGGACATAGAATTTTGAGGGAGAGATTATTGGGGAGCATAGTTTGGAAAAAATTATGGAGCTCACTCAGACTCACTCACCGAATGTTTCTCACACTTTGGACTCACTCGGACTCGCACCCACAAAAATTTTCTTCAACTAGATTGACTCAAACTCAATAAAATATTACACACTCGGACTCGCTCAGACCGACAGCTCGATCCGAGTCTGAGTGAGTCCGAATAAGTCAACTCGCAAGTCCGTTCGCCAAGAATTATGTTGTTCAACCATGATGCCAATGCTGCTGTATAGCTTCAGCATTTCACATAATCAGTGCTCTCCTTGGCGCCTTTTGATATACAACCATCGAATAATACACGAATGCTCGTAAACCAGTAAGGTCATTTTTCTTGAAAAAGATGGCAACATGAAATGTATTTGTCAAAACTGCCTTGGAAGAGTTGGCGGGGGGGGGGGGTCAAGGCTTTTTTTTACGTAATTCATGCCTGTGATCAATAAATATTGAAATAGTGTATAAAAGACACTGCTTTGATATGTGTGTAAGAATATGAGAGTATAAACGTGGATTCAAGTAAGGCTGATAGTAACGCTGAAGATGAGTAGATATGACCATAAGCTGGCAAAAGAAAGAAGCCCACTCAACAAATATATCTCGCGCTTTGGACTCGCTCGGACTTATTCGCATGAAAATTTTCTTCAAGTGAACTCACTCGGATTCGGACTCGTAAAAATATTACTCACTTGGACTCCGACTCGCGGCTCGATCCGAGTCCAAGTGAGTATGCAGACTTATGCTGGGGAGACAGATTTGTGAAGATAAACGTAAATCATTTGAATGAAAATATAGAATAGAACATATTTCAAATTAATTTTTTACACATAATCCACAAAACTGAAGGCAAAACAGGGAACCTTGCGACATTCAACAGAAACTTGGTCCTTCAATAAACAACCACCCATGTAAAGAAGTTGTGTTGACCGAAGGCCACAGAATCAAATCCCAGCTGCAGCAGCTACATGGAGGAAAAATGCTAGAGCACCGTGCGCTTAGATTTAGGAGCTCATATATAAAACCCCAGGTGATTGAAGTTTACAAAGCTCCCCTAAGGCGTGCCTCATCTTGATATCGCTGTTTTGGAGCGTATAACTCCAACAATATTACATTTGTGCGTGTTGGCTGTCATGCTATGTGCATGGGCTCTTTGCCCCAGCTTTCAACGCGATGCTCACGTGCATGCGTTGGAGTGCCTGACGTGCATCACTGCTCTGTCTGGTGCCGTGGTCAGCTGTCTTCAAATAATATAAAAAAGGAATTGAAAGAGCTTCACGAACTTAACAGTGGTGAAGACTGGTTTCTCACCACTGTTAGTGGGCAGATCAGTTCCTAAACGCCAGTGTCAGTGGGCAGATCAGTTCCTAAACGCCCAACGAATTATTCAAATATACCTGTTATTTCGGATCTCGGAATACTGGCATTATTACGAAAGCTTGATCCTAGAAAAAGTCCCGGCCCCGATGATTTTCCAAATGGATTCTTGAAACGGTATGCTGATCAGCTATCTGCCTTTTTAACTAACATTTTTCAGATCTCTCTCACATCAGATGAAGTCCCGTATGATTTTTTTGGTTGCTAGGGTCGAATCACTGTTTAAAACGGGAGAGAAACTTTCAATTTCTAACTACAGACCCATTTCCATCACATGTAGCTGTTGTAAAATGTTGGAGCATGTTATTGTAGGGTTCATTCATAAATTTCTGGCTGAAAGGAACATTTGGTCGCCCTATCAACACGGTTTTAGAAAAAATATGTCCACTGTTACGCAATTGGTCACTACTGTTCATCACTTCTCTGCGGTATTGGACGAGTCTGGACAAGTTGATGTGGTTTTCCTAGACTTTAGCAAGGCCTTTGACGAAGTGCCACACGATAAGCTTTTGTATAAACTTGAACACATTGGCTTTCCTGATTGCCTTTTGAACTGGATAAGAGCTTATTTAAATAACAGAAAACAATATGTTGATATTAATGGTTGTTTCTCCAATTTTCTTGCTGTTACCTCTGGGGTACCCCAGGGCAGCGTGCTGGGATCGCTGTTGTTTCTTCTTTATATAAATGATTTAGCCCACGTAGTTCCCGAAACTGTCTCCATCAGGCTGTTTGCCGATGATTGTGTTGTTTTTAGAGAAATTCGCTCACCTGATGACTCTGAAGTTTTGCAGGAATCCCTGGTTGCAATAGAGAGTTGGTGTGAGCAGTGGGGAATGATGTTGAATGCCGGAAAATGTGCATTTCTACGAATAACACGCAAAAAACATTTCTTCAACTCCCAGTACTTCTTGCAGAACACTTGTATTGCAGATGTTGGGGAGTACAAGTACTTGGGCCTCACTTTGAACTCTAATTTATCTTGGTCATCCCACGTAAAATGTATTTGTTCTGCTGCATTTACTAAGTTGTGTTTTTTGAGACGAAAATTAAGACATTCTCCAAGTCACGTTAAGCTTTTAGCCTATGAAGCTTTTGTTAGAGCTAAACTTGAATATGTTTCACGATATGGGATCCGCACTTGAAAAAAGATATCTACATGCTTGAGCTCGTTCAGAGAAAAGCGGTGCGTTTTATTTTTAACAAATATGGGCGTTACGATTCTCCGTCGAAGCTCATGACTGATAATGGCATTCAAACCCTAGCAGTTCGTAGACGCTTGGCCCGTTTACTCTTCCTCAGCAATATTGCTACTTCTAAGGTGAAAATAACTCCGTCCACTTTGATTAAACCGCTTAAGCACAAGAAGGACCCGTCACATGCATGCTCATTCCTTTCAGCCTATCTTCGCCAAAACTAATCAGTTTAAGCACAGCTTCTTCCCACGTACAATTTCCGAATGGAATGCGCTCCCGGAAGCAGTGATACAAGCCAAAAATTTTTCCCAAGCGCTCCAGGAAAGCATCTGTCGCTAAGTATATGCATTGTATGGTGTGCTATGCCTTGACCAATCTGCATTGTACTCCTTTTTATTGTTATTATTTTTATTCTTTGTGTGTATGTGTAACAGTGTTGTGTGTATTGCCAATTGCCCCTCCTGCTTGGGCCATAAACTAGTATTTGCAATAAATAAATAAAATAAATAAACATCAAAGCTGGTGGCATCACACTGCCTTAAGGTTTAGTACACTGGAGGCGAGTAGCGGGACCGGCCCAATTTTCGTGGCACAGAACCACTAGGCGTGCTATAGAGGGCTTTTTCACTTTTGCAGAGTAGAGGCAAGTAAAAAGACTTGGCTGGTTTATGTGGCATGCAACCACTAGGAGTTGCATCGTGCTCCACAGGGATTACACTTTGAACAATTTGGTGTTAGAAAACAGGTTGCACATACCTCATTCCTTCAGAAATCAACGCTACAAGGGGGTGCTACAAGAATGCCTGAATTATTAACTGTTGCACGCTCAAGCAAATGACGTTTACAGTGATTCATCACCTACTTAATGCATTATAAAAAAAATGCTATTCTCTCAGTAATCCGTAATGAGGTCATGTGTGAACCGTCACAGTACATTGAAATAGGCACGGTGTTCCATACTGAGCGCCACTGGTTCAACGTCATTTTCTTATAGGGTGTGTGAGAAATGCATTGACGGCAGGAGTGCCCGAAATCACAGCATGCAATGAAGTGGAAGCTCGAGCTGCTGGATGTAGGTGAACAACAAAGTGGCAGAATTCGCCCTCATAGGCTTAATCATGATAAATGCATTCTTTGGGCATTCTACGAGTTCCACAAGAAGTGACCCTTGGGAACAGGGTGGCATGGTCTGTGTTCAGAGCCAGTGCTCCAGGTGCGACATGCGCAAGAAGCGTTTCTCATACGAAGTGGCTTAGCTGGTAATAATGGAGCTAAGATAATGCCTTTCAAAGCGAAAGTGGGCAAAAATTAAGGGCAACGATAATCTTAAAGACAGCGACCATGGCCGCACAAACTGCTACCTGACAGAGCAATGCACAAATTGCCAAAGCTGAATTACTACACCCATGTCCCACGAGAACAATTAGTGCTATTTAATGGGGTTAGTTGGCTACCACAAGGGGACATCTGTCACTAAACAAAAATAACGTGCACAAACGAAGGAGCTTGCTAAACTCGGTGAAAAGCATTTATGCCATGCATGAGTAATCTCTCGCTGAAGAAAGACCAGAAACAAATTATACATTAAGAGGCAAATAATTCATTTTAACGAAGTTTTGACTTCCAAGTATACCGTTTAATTTTTTTCGCTGGAGAATTTAAACTTTTGAAAAGCTTCAATATCCTTGTTCCCATAATTATCACAAGCATGATTGTTTATGTGCTACATAGTAACTACCAATTCAAAGTGGAGCTCAAGTACCCCCAATGGCATCAACTGCATCATGACTGCCATCGTCAGCAAATGGCATCCTCTCCCAGCAAGTAGCAGCACATGGTACCAAAGCAGCGGACATTCAGTTCCCCAGGCCGTGATGCTGGCACCTTGCGGCGTGGCCGTTGACCTCAACGACGCTTCGGCGGGGATCCTTGGAGGTGCTGCAGCATTTTGTTGCACTTCTATTTCAGTGATATATTTCAGTGTTTGCCCATACGCAGCTACGCAATGTCTTGCTTGTCGCAAAGGTTATTTACGCAAGTCGGGTACTAAACTGAGATAAAGATTGGGTAGTGCACACAGCATTGGCCACTTCCGTGTGGGAAAAGAATGTGAACGAACTTGCAGAGATAATTCATTACTCCCTTCAGTATCTGTTGGCATATAGCATTTGTGCACTAACTTGTGCCTCAGTTTCTGTTTAACGAATAGGAAGGTTGTTCCCACTTTTGCACCACGCCAACCCTTGGCTTTGGCTAACTAAAGGTGGACCTAGAGAATGCGTTACGGCCTTTGACTTCGATAGAACATGTACTCAGGCCTACACAACAAATTTGGGTGTCGTATTACAGTACTAAGGGCGTAACAAAATACGTTCCCCTCTGCAATGTCTTCTTTCATTGGCGATGCCAACACGGATATATGCCAAGTCGTAGGCATCGAGCGAAGTTGAAAAAAAAAAAAAAAGATAAAATTAACGATAATAATGAAATGATCCCACCCCAAAACAGTGGGAGTGCGGATGAACAGCCCTCAGCTCGAGATTCAGAAACGCCTTATCTCCTGGGCTTGATCTCCCGAACACCTTTGTCTCCCGAATACGTTCGGCAATTGGCCACTCTTTGGTCATCAGGCATACGTCACAAAATGTTTAAGCGTGTTTGTGATTTTTGAATTCTGCAATAAAGGTCACAAGTCGAACAAGGTGCAAAAAGGGGCATTATTTTGGTTTCATTTATGGAAATTTTTTTGGGAAATGTTTGCTAAATGAGCCATTCGCCATTCAGTTTTTAAAACAAAAATTGTGAATGATGGCTTATTTTGAACGATTGGTTCTAATAAATTTAGACAAAACACTTGCCGCCTATATATGTTTCGAGTTTCATAAACATGAGTTGCTAGATTGTGGACCACTGAACGCAAGAGCCTTTATGGTAGTGCATTATGGCAGTGCTTCTCTAGTTGCCAGCAGGCACGGTGGCAGCGCCTTTCCACCCGGGCATTGCTTCACCCTGTAACAGAGCAACCGCAGGTTGTCTTTGGCCCGAATCTTCGCTTCAGGAGTCAGGGAGGGGGGGGGTTGCCGTGGCAGAGTGGTCAGTGGCTGTGGTTACGCGAGCTTTTCTGCTTCGGGTGGTTCACCGAACTAATGCTTTCAAAAGTTTATTCTCTCTCTCTGTCTGTACGGAGGGTGGGTGCGCACATACAGTTCATCGTGTACGACTGTGCTGCGCTGATCTATAGTCCTTCCCCGACAGAGTTCGGGGCAAACGTGCTCATGTGTCTGTAAACAGGGGGAGACAGTATTACTAAAAGGGAGGGGGGAGTATGAGGTAAGAGGGTGGTATACGAAAACTTGCAACGATTGAAAGCATCGCACCAGCATTATTACGCATCATAACTTTGAAAAGCGTTGTTTCGAATATGCATCTGAGTTACTGACGGCGACATAATGCAAAAAAGTGAAGGGTGGGCAGACAGCAGGAGGCTGCCGAGGGATAAAAAGTTACAACGCGTGGGGGGGGGGGGGGGGGGAAGGATGCTGCCGCCGTAACTTCACTCAATCATGGTCACGCGAACAATAGAGAGAAACTTCCGAGGAACATGGTCGATATAAGGTCACAGTCGTAGTAGGCGCATTGCTTATAGATGAAATGAAATGTGCTTGTAATCGGCCGAGTCATTTCACAAATGCTGCTAGATTGGGAGACGCACTCAAAAGGAGAGCAAAGCGGCTTTCAGAAAGGATGCCAGCGGACGGTAGCGAAGGAAAGAACAAAAAAGGGCAATCATTGTGTTACAAAAATCAAACACGTCTAATTCTGCTAGTATGCCATCGTTTCGAAAAATTCTCACGGCTCCGTGGTTGTGGTACACTCGTGTACAACTTACCCCCCATTACTGAATCTCGACCTACGGGTGGTCTACGGGCCCTTCAAGTGGCTATCTTAGTGGCCACTACATAAGGTGGTAGTTGTAAATTACCGTGTTACTCTTTCAAGTCTAATTCAGCTACCTAGTGGCATGGCTAGTAGCCATTGTAAGACTGCCCTTTTGAGGTAGCGCTACCCATGTACCATTTCTCACAATTTTGATTAGAAGCCGATAGCTTTTTAATATCATGAAATCTAAGCCGACCAGAAAGTTTGGTATAAGATTATTTAAAAGAACACCAATTGCCTCGATTTGAATAAATACTGCAGGAGGATGGAAATACAAGCTTTTGACCTCAAAACCAGACTGCAACTATGTTGTTCATTACCCTATTTATACTGCTTGCTGACAAGAATTTTCTCCAATTAGAAGTTCATCGAACTCTGTATGCTCGAATTTTCCTAACAATATTTTACCCCTTTGTTTAAGAGGGGAGGCTACACTTGATGGGCAACTTTTTTACAAGTGTATAGATCTGATTTTTTACAAGTGTATAGATCTGAACGAAATTTAGACAGTTTGTGTATTTCGACGTGCAGATTGTAAAATGTAATTACTTTCCTGATAGGTAAAGTAGTTTCTAAGATACTCCACAATCAATGTAAAACCTGGGTCCTTTGCAACCTCATCATCATCTTCATCAGCCTGACTACGTCCACTGCAGGACAAAGGCCTCTCCCATGTTCCGCCAGTTAACCCGGTCCTGTGCTTGCTGCTGCCAATTTATACCCGCAAACTTCTTAATCTCATCTGCCCACCTAACCTTCCGTCTCCCCCTAACCCGCTTGCCTTCTCTGGAAATCCAGTTAGTTACCCTTAACGGCCAGCGGATATCCTGTTTACATGCTACATGCCCGGCCCATGTCCATTTCTTCTTCTTGATTTCAGCTATGATATCCTTAACCCCCGCTTGTTCCCTAATCCACTCTGCTCTCTTTTTGTCTCTTAAGGTTACACCTACCATTTTTTTTTCCATTGCTCGCTGCGTCGTCCTCAATTTAAGCTGAACCCTCTTTGTAAGTCTCCAGGTTTCTGCTCCGTAGCTAAGTACCGGCAAGATACAGCTGTTACATACCTTCCTCTTGAGGGATAGTGGCAATCTACCTGTCATAATTTGAGAGTGCTTGTCAAATGTGCTCCACCCTATTCTTATTCTTCTAGTTACTTCAATCTCGTGGTTCGGCTCCGCAGTTATTACCTGCCCTAAGTAGACATAGTCTTTTACAACTTGAAGTGCACTATTACCTATCTCGAAGCACTGCTCTTTTCCGAGGTTGTTATACATTACTTAAGTGTTTTCTGCAGATTCATTTTAAGACCCACTTTTCTGCTCTCCTTGTCTAACTCCGTAATCATGAGTACAATTCGTCCCCCGAGTTACTCAGCAATGCAATGTCATCGGCGAAGCGCAGGTTACTAAGGTACTCTCCATTAACTTTTATCCCTAACTATTCCCATACTAGGCTTTGCAACCTAATTAGCATCTAAGCAGGAAGCACCAAAAGATTAGCAATAGTATAGAAACAATGTAGGATGTTTAAAGAGTGCAATATGCTATAAATCAATTCGCTGGTCCCATTTCAACAGGAGTAGAGGACATCAATGTTCAGAGAAAAACAAGCCATCTTCACTTGTCACGCATGTGACCCAATTGAAAAATTTTTTTATCAGTATATTGCCTTCAAAATAAGCATACTGCATGCATTTATATTTCTGGCAAAGCAGGAATTATGCTGATAGCTCGAATGGAACAGAAGTTATTTTCCATCCAACTTAGAAAATGTGCCAAAACAAGAAAAAACGGTTCAAGACACCTTTATTAAAAAAATACTAATAAAATCTGATGAAAATGCACCAGGGGCATAATCTCATGAATCCCATCCTTATGCTTCTTTTGGACCAGCCTTCTCAGACTTTGGGACGCTTCTCTGTATTTATTTGAGGTTGCACTCTGACAACAGTCCTTCTCCTTAGCCCTCAGCAATGTGCTGCTGCATATAGTGATGTCCAGCTGCTCTAGAGTTGCACCAAAAGTATTGACATAGTCCATGTTGAACCACAGCACACCTTCCGCAGCAGCAGCTTGTACAGCAAAAAGAGAAGTGTGCTGCTCCTTTGATGCCTCACTCCAAATCACTGATTAGAGGATTTCATGTGAATTCCGAGACTTGCCTTGCTGGCATCTTGCCTCACTGTTGCACCACTTGACTCCAAAAAGCGCTTAATTTTTCGCGCTGTTGCCGACACCTACGAAAAACCTCAAGTGTCATGGTTGGCTCGCGGGCACGCGCGTCGCCAACTTCACTGGCATTGATCACATCAGGGTCTACTCGCACACGGCCGGAGTCGACATGGCGCGCGTTGTCAGGGAGGCCCATGTCTACAGGCACTTCACTGTTTTCCAATAGCATCGGTGTGGTCATAATTCACAGAGCGTCCACTATTTGGGTTAGCAGTCTCGCACACTCCTCGATTGATAACATTTTCGGTACACGGGCGGCCAGCGTCCACGCCGCGCACGCACGAGGAACAGTCTTCGGTTACGGCGGCACTATCAAACAATGTTGCCAAGACACAGTAGCAGCACCAAGGGGATTTCTGCCTTTCTTCCGTGAAGGATGAAAATCATGCTGCGATCGTAACTTTTTCGCACCGCCGGGCATAGCGAGACGCACAAGCACGCTTGGGGTAATAGTCACAACACCTTCGCAAGAGCGAACCCTTTCAGAATGGCAGCAGACACTGCCAGCGAGTTTTCCTGGCCAATCAGGAAGCACCATTTTGGTCACGTGCATCAAGCAACCAATGGAATCACGCGCTGCTCGTGATTTTGACTTCGCCTTTTTTGCTTTTGTGAGGGGCACATAGTTGTCTATTAGAAAAGAAGAAAAAAAAAGCTAGAAACGTGACCTTTCCAACAAGACCAAAATGATGCTGGTGGAATGCGTAGTTCGCATGTC